GTCAGCTTAAAGCCACGTTTTTGGTCTAAATGAAGAGTGAATTTTCATCATTGCCTTGTCATTTTGTCATCATGTCACCAGAATCGCTTCATGTGACCAGTATATATTACATTCATGGACCTTAAAAACACCCCTGAAAGTAATTGAATAATTCATGCATTGGACCAATGTAATAGTGTTACCTAACACAGCTGGTTGCACTGTTCTTTTTTTTCTGTACTGTAATGTAAAACGCAGAACATGACATTGTCATTTCATTGTAAAAATGAACTCTGTGTGCTCTGACAGCCTGATACCTGGAGGGAAATGAATATTTACTGAGAAAAGAGACACATTTTACTGAATTAAACACACTGCAACACTTTTCATTGCTGACTATATTCTTGGTGGAAAAAAATAATTAATAAATGTTTAAAAATATATAATAGTCATTAGGTGACTATTTGTGCTATTGTGACATATATATATATAATAAAAATATTATGTAGTATATTCTATATGCTAATTATGTTTGTTATAGCCATTAATTAAAGTGAATGTAAAATAATATGGACAATACCTAGCTTTTTTTACACTGGGTCCCTGAGTTAACTGAAAGTATGAATGGGGTATCCCGGGGACTGTAAATGTTGAAATCCCCAGTTGTAGTTGATGATTGATGTGTTGAGGTTCTAATCTCAGGACAACATCTGGCACGCTTATGGTACTTATCTTCACTCCCACTCAGTTGTTTTCATTCTCCCCGTATTGGAAGATTTCAGGTCCTCATGCAAAAATCCCATGAAGACATTTAAATCAAGACAGAGTCCGTGATATAACTCCAGTGGTGTCCCGCAAATAATGCCTTACAGAGTGAGGCAATCATTCATGATTTCTGACTGCACTGGTGGTTGGCGTGTCCCATATTTTAATACAGGCCACCTGAGCATTATGCAGGCTGGCGAGCAAGCGAGAGCCAGAGAATCATTTATTGTTGCATAAACCATCAGGTCTCAAAGTTCAGCTGAGGTTGTGGTCACGAATTGTGGTATGGAACCTGAAATTATTTGACAGGAGATGGTTTTTATGGGTTGAGTGCCATTGTCATAATTTTATTTTCTTTCCATTACCATTTCACTGTCCTGCTGCATGGCTGGTGTACAATTTTGCACATAAATAATTTTGTGATCAGCGTTTGTGATGACAGTAATAATATTAAGATTGACAGTCCCATTGCTTTGCAATCTTCATTTACGCTGTCATCCAGTTATCGGCTAAAAAACGTTTCCATCATTCTGTGTTGTTGACCGAAATATATATTGATCTATATACCTGTATATCATTTTCGTTTAGTTTAACTTGATGTTCTAAAATAACTACAAATAAAACTGAAATAAACATAATGACTATATAGATATAATTTAAGAAACAAATTCTAATATAATATAGAAATGCATTTAAAAATGTTACACATATTATTAAAAACTATAATAGTATAAGATATACTAAAAGAATAACCTGTATGACTGACTTTCTTCTCCATTTTTTTCATTTTTGCACATATTATCCCTTTGTAAGACCTTGAGATATGCTGAATCACTGCCATTTTCTTTTGTGCAAATCCTCAACCATAATATCTTTCAGCAGACAAGGACGACTGATTGTACATCGCCATTCAAAATACCTAGAAGATTCAAAATCATGATAAAGTAAACAACTTCCCTTTCTCTTTCTGTAAATAGTTAAAGACATGAACACAAAAAGAACACATCTTTAATCAAAGAGCTGGTCTGCCCTCCTGACATTACGACTACCTCAGACTTTGGAAAAATCTTCTAGAAATATAACTCGTCTGAAGGTGCTGCTACTCCTAATGACCTTTAACTCCAACACCACTCCAGGAGTGACCCACAGCATCGCCCTCTACACCCCTCAGAGCTCAGGGCAGCACCGGCTCTCCACAACTGAGCCATTCAACCCCCTTGTGGATTCCTCCATTTCCTCTTCTTAAGAGAGTTCTTCCCTAACAGATCCATCATGATCATGTGCACTAGCTGCAGTGTGAGACAGGTGTTGGCAATTCCAGCTTTAGTCTCCAATAATCACTCTTTAATTTCCTGCCTCCTTTAGGAGACATAAATGTGACCTTCAGGAGCTTTTTTGTCACCCAACACAAACTCAAACCTTTCACATGAAGCGTTCAAAGGAAGACAAATGAGTTCTTCTTATTCTAACAGTCCAAAAGCACACTTGCTTCTGTCTTGGGTCAGTTAAGTTACATTGGGAAGATGAATCTGAATCATCTGCTGTGAATTTTTAGATGTTACAAAGGAGCATGTCATCTGAACATGCAGTTACAGTACAAAAATATGATACAGAAATTTAATTTTGATCTGATAATGTCTTTTGATGATGAAACATCAAAGCAAGTACATTCAAATGCTGATCTCTCTCTTAGCCAGAACTGAGTGTAGTCAGTCTTTCAACAGTTTCATCAGCCACATTTTAGAGGTTCATAGAGCAGCAGTTCTCAACTGCTGGTTCGTGACCCAATAAAAATTGGTCACAGATCTGTTTTCATTGCATTGATGCATTTGGAAGATGCTTCTATTTAGTGCATTCATGGCATAAATTTATCAGTTCACACATTCCCAGGGAATTGAACCCATGACCTTCATGTTGCTAGTGTTGGAAGCTACATGAACGCTGTTCTGAGTGCAAACATTAAGAAAAACAATGTTTAATCCAATAGAATACCACTGTATAATATTAAATAGTTAGGATGGCAAAATCAATGTCAATTTAAGTTTTATTTCTGTTCATGTCAAGGGCAGTCTGTCTACTTAAACTCAAATTCTGAGGGAATTTGGCCCAAAATAATCTGTTACTTAGAAAAAAATCTCATTTAAATACTCAACAAATTGTGTATTTGAGTATGTATCTTGACTTGTTGTAAGGTAATAAATACAACCCAGACTACAGTAAATACAAGTTCACTTTGCAGCAAGGATAAACAAAACCATTGGAATTCAGGTGACATTTAGAACCAAAATTGACAATTTTCCTTTTCAGCCTATGTCGTGTTAACCATTTTGCATATTATTTTTGAGTCTGTGCAGTTCATAGTAATATTAATAATGTTCCATTATTCCAGCTTCTGCTGTTTCCATTGCTGTAGGGAACAAACATTGGAAGGTGGCAGAGCTCAGGGCTTCTCAAGCCAAATACTGACATTTTTTAACAGCAAATGAAAACAAACCATAATCCATCTGAATATTGACGGTTGTAGCATACCGGCTGTGTTCCCGTATTCCTTGTCATACAAAGAGCATAATGCTTTCTGCAAACTGTATACTCCAACTTACTGGTGTAAGCAGGCCGCTGTATTGTGTAAAAAGCTTTAAGGGCTTCAGTCAGCAGGGGAAGAATAGAAGAGCACATATTGAATAAAATGAATGTGGGTGTGATTGTAAAAGGGCTTGTTTATAGATGGGGGCATAGTGCATCAATACTGTACTCACAGCACTGTATTTTTAGAGGTGTGTGTGTGTGTGTGTACCTTGTATTTATCACTTTATGAATAGTAATACCAGTAAATTTTGACCTTGTGGGGACATTTTTTAGGTCCCGATGAGGAAACAAGCTTATAAATCCCACAGAATTAATTTTTTTGAAAATCTAAAAATGTAGAAAGTTTCCTGTAAAGGGTAGGTTTAGGTACCCCTTACAGGAAAAATACAGTTTTAGAAAATACAGTTTGTACAGTATAAAAACCATTACGCCTATGGAATCAATGTGGGTGTGATTGTAAAAGGGCTTGTTTATAGATGGGGGCATAGTGCATCAATACTGTACTCACAGCACTGTATTTTTAGAGGTGTGTGTGTGTGTACCTTGTATTTATCACTTTATGAATAGTAATACCAGTAAATTTTGACCTTGTGGGGACATTTTTTAGGTCCCGATGAGGAAACAAGCTTATAAATCCCACAGAATTAATTTTTTTGAAAATCTAAAAATGTAGAAAGTTTCCTGTAAAGGGTAGGTTTAGGTACCCCTTACAGGAAAAATACAGTTTTAGAAAATACAGTTTGTACAGTATAAAAACCATTACGCCTATGGAATGTCCCCATGAAACATGGAAACACAACGTGTGTGTGTGTGTGTGTTTATAATGGAGGAAGGGAGGCGGAGGAAGGGGACTAAATCTCCTTTCTGACAACCAAGTGGAAAAGTTGGATTGGCATGTTGGCTGCAAACACAGAAAGCACTATCAACCCATTAAACTATCATTTCATGATCAGAGGACAGAGTTCAAGTGATTTATTTCAGCTATATTTTCATCAGCACCATTCATTAGAATTGAAAGTGCTAGGTGCAGACTGCAGAGCTGTTATCAAACAGTGTTGCAATGTTTATTTGTGTTTGGATGCTTGTATCTGTGCACCTGCAAAAATTATTCTGATTAATGAGCAGGGTGAGATGATCTTTACTGGCATGCCTGTCCTTTGACATGGAAATCTGCTCAAGTTGGGCAGCTTTGTCTTTTGTTTTTGCAAGCATAAATTAAATTATTACATGGCTATGGGCTGAGCTGTGGATTTGGCAGCCCTGTGCTGAAAATTGATTACCTTTGACAATTTTTCATTTGCAGACAAAGCTTTTGTCAACTCTGGAATAGATGTTGTGAAACTACAGTCAACTGGATTCAGAATTATTTCATCTAGCCGCCTCTGTTTCTCTAAAGAACAAGGTCAGTGGTGGAACAGATGACCCTTGTGACACTTATGTTTCAGTCCAATTTTATTCAAATCTCAACCAAATTCAAAACTATGAATGGAAGGAAAATTACATTTTACATTCTCTGTATTTCTTTTGGAGACATTTTCACTGGCCTTCGATCACATTTAGTCACAGTCAGAAATTAACCAGGATTGTGTGTGTGTGTGTGTGCGTATATATATATATATATATATAT